GAAAAGAGCCAGCGTAAACACCGGCTCGTTTCAGACAGGCTGGCTGCACTGAGGTGCGGTGTCAGGTAAAGAAGGATGATTATGAACTGGGAATCATGCAAAGCTGCTGTGGGAGAATCAAAACACGGAGCTGGAAACGAGCGTTTCAGCTTTCATTAACAGCAGCCTAATTATGTCAACGTTACTGTTTCCAGCTGTGCTCACGGCTCAGACCCACGTGTGACCTCTGACACTGACGCTACAGTGATGCTGTGAGTGCGGCTGCAGCTGTTAATGATGAATTCGTTCTACGTTCAGGTTTATAATGTTTAGAAATGTTTCAGTGAGGCGGCATCGCTGACGTACGCAGCCCCAAAGACTCAAATACAAAGACAGGAAATCCAGTTTGCACTTTTATTTTTTAACTTTTTTCCCTTCTCGATCAAAAATTAAATCCCGTCTTGTTTCATTCCCAGTTCACTGCTAACATGAACTGTAACTGTAAAACCTTTATTAACCTTTAGGTTTACCTGCTTAATTAATGATGAAATAACAAAATAATAACAAACATCTTTCTGGATAAAAGCGTGTCAGCAGGAAATACCCAATCACAGCGCTCAGCAGCTGCTTCAGACTCCTCCCACTGCACTTTTTAGATTTGGCCTCTCAGGGTTTCATGTCATGGCCCTGAAGCGCTTCATTCAAAGTGAGCTCGTCCCTCAGGTAAGTTTCATTAGGTCACATGACCCAATCAGACATCCCACCTGTTTCCTGAAGTTAGAGCGACGAGCTTAAATTGAGTGAAGAATGACGGGAACGTCAGCCAATCACAGAACGTCGTGGTGACATCACGGCTTCAGAAACACGACAGAGACTACAGACAGGGTTTGAATATCAGTCAGCAGGTGACGTAGAAACAACCTGAGCAGAAACAACCAGGTAACAGCCACGCCCACCTTCCACTCTTACATCAGTTCCTGTGGTCTGAGGACGAGCGCAGGAAACAATCTTTGTGCGTTGCATCAACAAAAGGCAGCAGTCCAGCGAGATAACGAAGAGGGGGGTGAGGTGGGCGGAGCTTTGTCTCAGATGTAAAACTGGTGAGCGGCCAGGTTGTCCATGAAGGGCTGAACCAGGAAGTCCGTGGAGAAGTAGAAGACGAGGCCGAAGGTGATGGAGATGGGCAGCGCCGGCAGAGCCTTCTTAAAGATGGCCAGCAGCAGCAGAGTGAGGCACAGACCCTGAGACAGGCACAGGTGAGACACAGGTGAGACAGAGGCTCAG